GAGGGTTGCAATCCCGTTGCCGGTCCCCGGTCCGGTACGGGTGCAACACTGAGGGTTGCGATCCGTTGCCGGACACGGAAAAAGACAAAAAGACAAAAAAAAAAAAAAAAAGAAATCATTGCAGTTTTCAGAAACAACAGAGAAACTTTCTTTTTGTAAAACTTTTTATTATTTGCATATTCATTCTTACAAATTGTGATATTTCTTTATGCCCTTTGCCTGATCTGTCACTTCCCAAACCCCCTCCATTCTCCCCTTCTCTAGTATCCTTAGGTTTGTTCTCTCCTTCTGAAAGTTCAGCATATTGTTGTGGACCTTCCTTCCTTCCCTTCCTTCCTTCCTTTCTTTCCTTCCTTCCCTCCCACCCTCCCTTCCTTGCTAGCAGCCAGTTATGAGTGAGAACATGTGGTATTTCTGTTTCAGTGTCTGGCTTATTTCACGTAACATAATTTTCTCCAGATTCATTCATGTTGCTGCAAAATGGCAGAACTTCATTCTTTCTTATGACCAAGTAGTATTCCATTGTGTATATATACCACATTTTCTTTATCCAGTCATCTCTCGACAGACACCTGGGTTGGTTCCATATTTTGGCTGTTGTAAATAGAGCTGCGATGAACATGGGAGTGCAGGTGTCCCTTTGACATGATGGTTTCCATTCCTTTGGATACACACCCAGTAGAGGGATTGCTGGATCCTATGGTAGCTCTGTCTGTAGTTTGAGAAACCTCCATACTGTTTTCCAGAGACATTTTCTTATCTCTTGTTTTCTAGGAATGGTTGCCAGTTCTTCTTGGCTGATTTTCATTTAGTTGAAAAAACATCTTGTCTTTCGGTGCTTATTTTCCTTTTTTTTTAATGTCCTTCGCTTTCCCCCTCTGCAGCAACAGGCAAATCCTTCCCCTTGCCTAATAGAAAACATTTCTGCTCAGCATCAGGCCCCACAGACTCGGATGTCTTCCCCTCCTGCATCTTCTCAGCTGTCCTTCCTTTCTGCCCACTGTTTCCACCTGGCTCGACGTCGTGCTCCTCTCAAGGCCCTTTCTAAACCCACCTCCTCTATAGAGCTTTTCCTGATTTGCCCCCTGAAAGGAAGGTCATCCTCTGAGATCTCCCTTACAGCAGTTATTAACATATCTTTGGCCCTACTCTGGCCCTTTTGGTGACTTCTCTATCCAACCGTGAACTTCACGAGGACAGGCAATTGTGTCTAACTTATTTCTATAACTCTTTGTTGAACTGACTCTATTAAATTAAGCATGCTAGAAAGATCAGCAGTGTTTCTCAGTGGGGACACTACTGGCATTCTCTTTGGAACAGGTTTTCATTGTGTGAGGCTATTGCATCACTGGAGGAGGTTAGTCCCTACTAGTCCCTAGTCCCTGCTCAGTTAATGCCTGTAACCACCCCCAACAGCTCAAGTACATCCTGTACGTTTAAAATTCACCCCATGGCCAGAGTTAGGAGAGAGAGAGAGAACCACAAGAAAAGACATTCTGAGGCATTAAGAGGGGTAATTCCTATTTATTATGTAATATTCACTTTATCTAAATTGATTAAGGGATTAAATTTAGACATTTTGGTCATTTCATAGCATCAACTGTGCATTTTGGCTTTATTTTTCAGTAGGGTACCCCCCGTTGTAAAATGGCCTATTTGGAATATAAGCTCTGTGAAGGAAGACTGGACAGTGCCTGTAACAAGATCCTCAGTCTGTATTTGTTGAGTAAATGAACGAGGCTTGCTAATGAAAAAACAAGAGGTAGAATAGAATCTTAGAGCCATTTAAAAATTTCCAGTAGTCCTCAGGTGTGTCCCATGGCTCCAGGGAAGAATGGAACTTGAAAGCCAACCCACCACTAGTTTAAGATGGGAACATGTCAAACCTCACATAAGGGGAGCCGTAGATGGCAGAGGGCTCCACAATAACAGGGCTTGCCGTGGAGCTTTCTTACCCTTTTTTTTTTCTCCATGCAAAGACATCTTTTGAACCCCATTTGGGCTGTTTCCCTTCAAACCGACACCACTTATGACACTTTGCTATTGAAGGATGTTCATTGTAATGCTGATTGGTTTTTATCTCCTCATCCATGCACCTGCTACAGAGATATGTTTGTGATGATGTTTAGGTTGTGGCTCACATTCTAGGTTGCTGATGGCTGCTCCTGCAGAATTGAGTTAAGCTATGAGATACATTATCCCTTCCTGAGGATAAATGACCCTTACACTCACATATTACACATTCCATCCCAGTCCCGAAAGTCTTTAGCTTGCTGCAGCACCAACTCAAAAGTCCAAAGTCCAAAGCCGCCTCTGAGACCAAAAGCAAAAGTCCTTCCAGCTGTGAACCTATGAAGAGTCAAAAACAAGTTTATCTATTTCCAAGATACAGTGGGACAGACATTGGGTACACATTCCCTTTCCAGAAGGGAGGAAAAGAAAGGAAAACAGTCCCCAAACAAATCCAAAACCCAAACAGGGCTAACGTTAAGCACACTGGGGCACCTGGACCCCTAAGGCATTGGGTAACCTCACTCCTACAGCTCCGCCAAGTGCAGCCCACTGAGCTGCCTGGTGCCTGTGGCTTTTCCAGGCCAGCGCTTCACGCTGCCAGCAGTCCCATGGTTCTGGGCTCCTGGTGGCAGTCCCGCCATCCTGGCTCCACTAGACATTTCCTCAGTGGGGGTTCTCTGTGGGGGCTCCGACCCCACTTTTCTGCTCCATATTGCTCTGTAGATGACCTCTGCAGTGGCTCCACCCCTGCAGCAGGTCTCTGCCTGAGTTCCCCGGCTTTTCCATACATCTTCTGAAATCTAGGTGGAGGCTGCCAGGCCTCCACTGCTATCACACACTGCTGGCCT